CCGCCCCTGTGCTGGGTTAAAGGTATATGCCACCATACCCTGCTTCTATGTTTTTCCTTTTTTGAGACAGGGTCTCTCTCTGGCCAGCTCTAGGGACCTACCTCTTTTATTATCTTATTTTTATGTGTATGCGTGTATTGCCTGCATGTAGGTAAGTGCACCCATGTTGTGCAATGCCTGCGGAGGACAGAAGAGGCTGTTGGATCCCCTGGGACTGGAATTAGGTGCCATGTTAGCTAACGTGCCATGTGGGTGCTGGGATTCAAACCCGGGTCTTCTGCAAGAACCACCAGTGTTCTTAACTGCTGAGCCATCTCTCCAAACCCAAGACTTACCTCTTTCTCCCATTCCCCAGAGCTAGAATTACAGACACTGCCTTTATTTGGGCACTGGAAATTAAAAGTAAGGTTTTTGTGCTTGCATGGCTGTCTCCCCAGGTCATTTGTCTGATAATTTCTCAAAGGAGCAGTGGTTTGAAATTTCAGTATTTAGTTTATATTCTTAACATCTATAAATCAGAAGAAGTATGTTCAATCATTTTTGACAATGGAGTTGATACTTCTAACAGTTTAATATTTTGCTCTTTGTAGTTGGTTGTTTTTTGTTTGTTTGTTTTTGGCTTTTTGAGGAGGGTCTAAGTTTGTGTCCAAGCTAACCAGGGGCATTATATAACAAACCAGCCCTCAGTTTATTAGTTTTGGTATCTTACCAGGGCCATATATCCATTATAGATGTCCACTGAGAGCTTTGACAACCAAAAAGAAATGCCTTACCTTCAACTTGCCATTCCCATGCCCCACCCAAATCCCCAAGCCTTCCAGTCCTAGACAGCCACTGTTTTATTCATTTAGCCTCTGAGTTTCCCTGTTCTGGGCATTCAGAAGAGAAAGGTTGTAGCACATGGTCTTTTTTGACTTGATTTTTACTAAAGGTCTTGAGGCCCACCCATTCATGTGAGATTTACCAATTCTTTCTTGCTGAGCAAGTCAATTATGGATGGACACAGCAGGTTTACACATTTCCAGTGGATGTTTGGTTCCTACTTTGTCAAGGTTCGCGTCAACATGCTTTCAGTTCTCTTTGAAACATTTCTAGAGGTAAAATGGCTGGGTCACCTGGCAAGCTTTACAGAACTGTAACCCTTTGGAAGTGGCTACGCTGTTACACGCCTACCAGCAGTGAGGTTTCCACTTCACATCCCGGGGGTTCATACTAGCTCTCCTGGGTGGCATGAAATAATATCTCCTTGTGGGTTTGCTGTGGATTTCTATCATGATTGATGCTGAGCAGCTTTCGTTGGAAAAGTATTCTTTGTCAGTGTTTAAACTGGATTCTTGTTCATTGAACTGCCAAGAATTCTTTATATAGTCTAGGTGATAATGCTCTACTGGATACATGATTTCCAATTTTGTTTTGAGACATGGTCTCATGTAGCCTCAAAGTTGCTGTGTCAGAATGACCTTGGGCCTCTGATCCTGCTAACTCCTGAGTGCTGTAATTAACAGACATGCCTGGTCTCATGCAGTGCTGGGGGTTGAACAGGCTTCCTGCACACCTCTAGCTGAGCTATAGCCCCAACTTTTTTTTTAATTAAAAAAATACTTTGTGCATGCATATGTAAGCAGGTTTGCTTATCTGTTCATGAGTGTGGCCAGATACTAGTATCAGATCAGGTGGCCTCAATTACTCTCCATCTTATATTTATGGGTCTTTCAGAATTTTTTAAAATTTATTGTGAGCAGGTATGGGTGCGTGCACACGTATGAAGCCCAGAGGACTTGAGTTGGGTCTCCATGTGAGTTCTGGATGAACACAGGTTTTTAGACTTGATGGTAATCACCTTTAGACACAGCCATTTACTGGCCCTCCATCTTTTTTTTTTTTTTTTTTTAACTGGGATGGCATCTTTTCATGTTCTGAATCTAAACTAATCTTGAGAAGCCAAGCTGATAGTGGAGCACAGCTTTTTTTTTTTTTTTTTTTAAACAACTTCTCCCTGAAACTGGAGCTCAGTGTCTGCTACACTAGCTGGCCAGTTAGACACTTAGGACCTCTGTGACAGATGCAGGCACTACCATGCCTAGGTTTTACGTGGTCGCTAGGGCTCTAAACTTGGGCCCTGCTTGCACAGCAAGTACTTTACCCACTGAGCCATCTCCCTACTTTTTTTTTTTTTTTTAAAGATCTATATATATAGCCTGGGCTAGCCTCTTAAAAATACTTCTTGCATTTTAACTTCTCTGGAGATGCATCACATACTGTCATACTCCGCTTAATGTGTCTTTTGAAGCACAGCACAATTTGTCATGTGGGAATGTTGCCTGCATGTATGTAAATGCACCAAGTGTGCAATCCCCATGGAGGCCAGAAGAGGGTGTCAGATCCCCTGGAACTGGTGTTAACAATTGTTAGCCACCATGTGAATGCTGTGAACTGAACCCAGGTCCTCTCGAAGAGCAGCCAGTGCTCTTAACTGTTGAGCCAGCTCTCGTAGTCTGTCATTTTGTTCTTTTTTTCATTCCTTGTAGCCACCTGGCCTGGAACTTGCTGGGTATACCAGACTGGCCTCCATCTCCCGAAGCTCCACCTGCCACTGCCTCTCAAGTGCTTGAGATTTAGAAGCAAATGCAACCATGCCTGGCTCTGTTGTATTTTTGAGGCAGTCTCAGTAAACACAAGGCTGACCTGGAACTCAAGAGTAGGTAGGCCAAACTGACCTCAAAGTCAGTCATCTTTCCTTCAGTTGCTCCTATGTATCACACACACGAGCCACCGTGCCCAGCTTTCTTGCTTTTTTCTTTTTTTGGTCTTTCGAGACAAGGTCTTCCTATAGCTCCAACTGACCTGGATTTGAATTCCAGGCTGGCCTTGAACTCAGAGATCTGCCTGCCTCTGCTTCCTGAGTGCTGGGACTAAAGCCATATGCTACCATGCCTAGCCTTTTTTTAAAATGACAGGTTCTCATTTGTAGTCTTGGCTGGTCTTGAACTCCCAGAGATCCACTTGCTGCTGCCTCCAGATCCTCTGCAAGAGTACTCAGTGCTCTTAGCCACTGAGCCATCTCTGCAGCCCCTCAAAGTACCTTTTATTTTTGTATGTGAGCACATATGCCATGGTACATTTAAGGTCAGAGAACAACTTGTGGTAGTGACTCATCTACCTGGGTTCCAGGGATGGAACTCGGGCCTAACTGGGCACCTTTGCTGGCTGAACTGTCTTGCAGGCCTTCCCATTTGTATTTATAGGAAGGCTGCAGGCAACGAACAGAAAGCAGTCTATCTCAGGGTTAAGAGCACTTTGTTGCAGTCCTCTGACAAGAGGATCCGAGTTTGTTCCCAGCACCCACAAGGCAGCTAACAACTGTCTTCTGCCAGCATAGTGGGGGGTTAGGACTGAAATTTTTTTTAGATTTTATGTGTCTGTGTGTGGTTATGTGTATAGGTGCAATGTCCACAGAACTGGAGTACAGGTAGTTGTAAGCTGTTCAGCATGGGTACTGGGATCAAACTCAGTCCTCTGGAAGAGCAGCAAGTATTCTTAACCATTGAGCCATCTTTCCAGTCCCTCAATCTAGGAATTGGTCCATAATAATGTAAATGGGAAAGCTGAGTTGTTAGGCACTGTGTCTACAGTAGGATTTGGATCTGCAAGCGCTGAGGCCATTTTGTTGGTGAACTGCTGCTGAATCCCAGGTGCTACCTTGCAGGCTAAAGAAATTCATGGAGGGACAGACAGCACCAATTTAAACATCACAGATTAAAATACTGTGCCAATTCTGAGAAACTAGTAATTAGCATATTCAAGATAAGGAAATAAATAAGAACATTTACCAACTGCTCAACAAGTAGCTCAGTGGTACTTGGAATGCTTTCCAAGTTCAAGGTTTAGTGCTTAGCACAAGAAAAGTTTTGAGTACTATTTGAAAGAATTTCAGAGCCAGGTTTGGTGGTGCGTGGCTGTAACCCCAACTAAGAAAGGTACGGCAGAAAGATCACACTTTCCAGGCCAACTCAAGCTACAGAGACACTGACACTGTCTCAAAAATAAATATGGCCTAGAGGTTAAGAGCACTGGCTCTTCTTTCAGAAGACCTGGGTTCGAATCCCAGGACCCATGTGGTGGCTAGCAACCATCCGTAACTCTGGTTCTAGGATCTGATGCCCTTTTCTGTCCTCCATGGGCACTGTGGGACACAGGTGTATTACACACATGCAGGCATAACACTCATACAAATAAAAGGATTTTTAAAAAGAAAATAGGGGCTGGAGAGATGGTTAAGAGTACTGGCTGCACTTATAGAGGACCCATGTTTAATTCCCAGTACCCTCATGGTAGCTCACAACCGGTAACTCAAGTTTCAGGGGATCTGACGCCCTCTTCTGGTTTCTGCACGCACTTGGGCATTTACATATATGTCTGGGCAGGGTCTTTCCCTCTTCTGTATCAAGGACAATCTGATAAAAACTTATGAAGTATGGGTTTGGAGAGATGGCTTAGTGGTTAAGGTATAATGCTCTTCCAGAGGACTGGAGTTCATTTCTCAGCACCCACACTGGGAGGCTCACAACTGCCTATAACTCTAGCTCCAGAAGATCTGACAATGCCCTCATCTGGCCTTCACAGGCACCCACACCCACATTTTTAAAAAAGCAAATAGAACTCAAAAAACTTACGGGGCTTTGTGTCCAAGATTCTCCAATTTACTGTCCGAGTTTGACTTTCAAAAACTGCTTAGGAAGTCAGTGCTTTAAATCAGAATTACAGTCCTAACATCCCTTAGCAAGACAGATAATTATATAATCAGAGGACAGCAGAAATGCATAAAACCAGCAGTAAGGTTAGCAGAGTAAAAGCAATACAGCTTAGTACTCCAAATATATTTTCTCTTAATCCTAACAAAATTCGTCATTAATAAAATCAAAAATGTAATTAGCAATTCAACTTTTAAGCTGTTTTACAAATCTTATATTGCTTCGACAGATTAAATGAACACATCTTAATACCAGTCTGAGTCACTATTTTTATTCTTTAAATCACATTTCCTAAGTTTTGGTGCCCACATTTGGCAAACATCATAGGTTTGTACAAACATACATATACACACATATTTAAATTTAAAGCCCTAGCTTCCATATTAAACCTTGCCCTCAGGTTGTTGTAAAATGGCAAGAAGATAAAATCAGGGAGAACATGAAATAACCCCATTGGCAACTTTTGTCTTCTGAACTATGACATTTTGAAACAAAATCCATCTCCTTGTTAAAACTAATAAGCTATAGCCTCAGGTACTTTTAAGAAAAGCAAAGAGAAGCCCCTTAGGTTCTCAGTGTGGTTTAACAACAAGCTAGCTTAGGTGTCGTTTTTACTGTTGTTTAAGGAAACTTTTTATTATGGATCAGTTCATATTTCAGTGATTAAAATTTCAGGTATTAAAAACCTCGGATTATCACTACATTCTGCAGCAAAGTTCTTCAGATATTTGTCTTTAATCACTACACAGACCCATCAAGGAACAGACAGGATTCTCGCTCTTTTTTTGTTAATTTTTTTGGTGTTGGGAATGGAAACCAGGGCCTGGTACACTCTAGGCAAGCTCATTACCATTGACCTACTGCTCCAGCCCTAACAAGAAGGTGTCTACTGCCCGGCAACCAGAGAGCAGGCAGCATTAGTGTACCCGAGGCTGTTTGAGGTTCTTCTTCTCTGGGGGAACTTTTCTCTTTTGGGGTATCCCAGGCCCAGGCTCCTTATTTTGAAGAAGTGAAGTAGCCTCTGGTAGACGGTAATTCTCTACACAAGGAGGGAATTCCTAGATAGGGAAAAAGACATTTTAAAATCAGATTTCAAGCAATAGATTACTTTGCTTTTTTCACAAGAAAAAAGAATGCAGAATCCTAGCTTATTTAAAGATATGCCAACTAAGATACTACGGTTAGTGAAGAGGAGACTACTCGTCAAAAAACTGAATGGACAGCTCAGGTAGAGTGCAGCTAGCTCAGACTTTAAGGGTTTCATAAGTTAAAATACAGATTGAGATGGCTCTGCGGTTAAGAGGACTGGCTGCTCTTGTAGAGGATCTGGGTTCAGTAAAAATAATAAAATTAAAAAAAAAAATCATGATGTTATCCCACAATAACCCTACCAGATAGCTACAAGTCAAATAACTCAACACCAAACACTGGTATATAAACTGGTACCAAATTTCTAGAAAGGGCCTGGTAGCGTCTTAAAAAAAAAAAAGAAAAAAAACAGACCCAAACAAAAACTAAGTATGTAATCCCAGTACTGGGGACCCAGAAGCAGTAAGATTACAAGTTTGAGGCAACCCTATGCCAGTAAGATTCTTTTTATTTTTTTAAATTTTACTTATTTTATGTGTATGTGTGTACTGCTTGCATGTAGTTAAGTGCACCCGTGTTGTGCAATGCCCGTAGAGGTCAGAGGAGGCTGTCGGATCCCCTGGGACTGGAGTTGCAGACAGTTGTTAGCTGCCATGTGGGTGCTGGCATTTGAACCCAGGTCTTCTGTAAGAACAACCAGTGTTCTTAACTGCTGAGCCATCTCTCTAGCCCCACCAGTGAGATCCTGTCTCAATGAAACACCACAACATAAACTAAATGTATACTTGTTTTATAACTCAGCAGTTGTACTAGATGTTTGCCCAGGAAGAATCAAAGTACACTGCAGAGAGACCTGTATGAATTTAGTACCTTCACCCAAAGGCAAGTAATCCAGGGGACCATCAATGGGAGATGATTCTAACTGTGCTAGTCAGACAGAACACTCTGGAGGGAAAAAGAATGAACTGCCAATATGCACTACCTCGTCATTTGGACAAATCAACTTAGTATGCTGGGTGAAAGCCTGATACAAATACAAAATGCGTATAATGCCACACTTTGTATGTATATGAAGTTATAGAACAGACAAAATCATCGTTTGGTAGACATAAATCAGAACAAAGGTTTACCTCTGTGGAGTTGGGATAGGGTTTATTGAGAAGGGGCCCAAACTGCTTCCTGGGATACAGGCTTTTTTTTTTTTTTTTTTTTTTTTTTTTTTTTTGAAAAAAAAAAAAGGGGGAAAATGTATAGGCATCTATCAGAAAATGGAACCACACAATGGAACTGTACATTTAAGATTTACAAATTTCATTGTACAGTAGCCATTATAAGAGAACAGGGCATGGTGGTGCACACCTTTAATCCCAGCACTTCTTGGGAGGCAAGAGGCAGGCCAATCTCTGTGCGTTAGAGGCAAGCCTGGTCTACATAGCGAGTTTGGTCTACATAGCTGGGGCTACAGGGAGACCCTGTCTCAAAAAGACCAGAGAGAGGGAGAGGGAGACAGAGACAGAGACAGAGACAGAAGTAAACAAATACTGGATTCTAGTTAGTGACATATATACATGCTTAAGTATTCCAGGAAGTGGATGTTGCGATTTCTACATATTTGAAAGGTATAAAAAATATGAGAAAGAGGGATAGATACATAATTAAATATATTAAAATGTTAGCTTTAGATCTAGGAGGCAGGTATACTGTTTAAAATTGCTCATTTTTTTTTTTTTTTTAATGAAGTGCTTTAAAAAAAAAAAAAAAAAAGAAACCAGAAATTTT